GGATTTAGGTGATAAAAGGGTTGATCTGTCAGACACGTTTAATAAACGGTGTCATATTCAGGTAAGATCTGTCAATCCATTTATCACTCGTTTATCCATTTAAATAAATTTAATATAATAATAAATTAATTATTATATATATATATATATATATATATATATATATAAAATAATAAATGAGTAAAGAAAACATTTAAAAAAAAAAAGTAAGCATCAGTCCCATACCATACTCCTATTTTCACCTTAGAATGGGGCCAATGCATACACAATTGTGCCAAAAAATCTAACCAGGCCAAATACCACGTCTGATCCAGAAAGTGAATCTGATCAGAACCCTAGCTCTCCTCTCTTGGGATCAAGGGTGGGACTACACCCTTCCATCCCTAGAAGGAATGAATATATTTTCTCGCATTTATGTTTTGTATGATAGATGAAAAATTGAAGGGATGTATTTTCCTTTGTTTGGTATATATACCAAATTTACCATTATACCCTCATATCTCAGTGGTGAATTTTTTCAAAGTAATTAGGGCTGTGCAAAAAATCCCTAAACCCGACCACCTGTAATTGACCCTTCTGAATGAAAATGGATGGCTAAAAATGTTTCCTATTCGGTTTCAGCATGAGTTTCTTGTAAATTTTTTTTTGTCCTTTAGCAAAATAAAAAAAATAAAAGGGAGAATTACACTGAGATTCCCTGAGATTTGTTACTTGATCACTCAGACCTCTTGACATTTGAAATATTATATCAAATATTTTAAATTTTACAACCACAATTCATGTTCTATTGTATCATTTATTGAAATAAAATTAAAATTAAAATTTAATTTTTTCTTAAAAAATCGTAATAAGTATATATTTATACTATCTATTAGAATAAAATTAAAAAATTAAACAAGGGATCTAAGTCATTCATAATAGAACGTAAATTTTACATCTAAAATTCATGTTCTATTATGTCATTTATTAAAATAAAATTAAAAATCAAAATCTAATTTTTTTTTAAAAATATCATAGTTAATATATAATTATATTATCTATTAGAATAAAACTAAAAAATTAAACAAGGGTTAAATTATAATGGATATATGTATGGCAGAGATCTAAGTGTTATGCGTGTACAAATTTTAGGGTGTTTATATGTAATATTTTAAATATCAAAAATCTAAGTGATTAAGTGATAAATTTCAAAATGTTTAGGTGTAATTCTCCCAAAACAAAAATATAGAAAACCCCCCATTCCCAAACCCTGCCTCATCTTCTTCTTCACAGCAATTGTCCGCCGCTTCTCAGTCACCACAGAGAGAGAGAGAGCTCAGTCAATCTCTCACTGTTCGCCTCTCGCTCAGTATTAGAGCCTGTTCGTTCTATCCCTTCTTCTCCATCCTTCTTCATTCTCTATTCTTCTCCTCATTTTTCAGGCTCTTCTTCGTTCTAGAGGCAGAAGGCTAGAAGCTGCTTAAGCCCTTCACCATTTTGAGAGGATGTTTTCGAAGGCACTGGAAGCTAATCGTACCTAGACTGTTATTTACTCCTTCCAGGTCAGGCTTCCAAATATTTTATCATTTCTTCACATTACTGAAGCAAAAACTCTTGATGGCTCTACTACCATGGTTACCATCTATATTGTCGCTGAGTCTGTTATACCACTGCCAGAAAAGGTCAAGGAATTAGGATTGGAAGGTACACAAAAGTATATAAAACTTTAGGGTAAAAATCATTCGGACCCCTGAGTTTTGTCTTAATGACATGGACACTCCCTCACATTTTATTAATTACAATGACATCCCCCATCATTAAACGGAGTTAACAAAAATTGTACAACGATAAGAATAACTCTAATTTTTCTGAATTATTCTCTCCGTTCCTAAATATCTGTCGTTTTATCTAATTTTTTTTGTTTCACAATATTTGTCGTTTTATGAAACTAAAACATAATTAATATTTTTTTTTCTAAATTTATCTTTATCTCTGTTTTCTAATAAGTGATTAATAAATTAAATGTAAGTTAATTGTCTTTCATATTCTTTTTTTTCTAATACGTATTGAATAAGAATATTTTAATCTTATGTAATTATTTTTTACTAATACTAAAGTTATTTAATAACTTTTTTAATGTCTCTGTAAAAATCTTAAATAATAAATATTTAAGAATGGAGGGTGTATAATATTGCCGGTCAAACCACAATGCATAAAACGACATAAATATCCAGACTACCAAAATCCTGAAAAATCGAAACCATCGTACAACCCATCGTTTGCACAGGGAGAGAGAAATCGAAACCCTTCACAACCCGTCGTTTGCCTATAGCCGCTAACCCTTCTCACCCCAACTCGAAACCTTCCTCTTCCTTTTCCTCCCCGATTCCCCCACAGCCTCCTTCTTTCCCCAATCCCCACAAATCTCATCACCTCTCGAACTCAAAAGCCCTAAATTCCACAATGTATTGGCTCCACCAGAGATCTAACCCTACAAGTTGAAGCGACACCTTCTGGGCGTTGATGCCGAACGATTCTAGTCCACCACTTTGCTCGAATTCTGGCGCTGTCATACTCGTTTCAAGAGTGTCAAGCTGGGTTGTGGCCAAGGTCTATCCACTCACTCTCTCTATCTCAATATATGTATAAATAAATACCCATTTTCATTCTGTATTCTGTGTGGGGATGTGTTGATGGGTTTTCTTTTCTCTATCTCTACACTTATCCACCAACCCACTCACATACATGTGCTTGTGTCTTAATCAAGTTAGAATTGTTCGATTCTGGGTTGATGAGCTTTATTCATGTGAATAGATGGGCTTTATTCATGGGAAAGATGACTATATTATGTTTGTTCTCTGTATTGTTTGATTTTGAGTGTTGTTTATGAGTAATTCCTCAGCTTTTACTGCTTGGAATGGTGGGTAGTGACATTTTGAGATGCTTGGGTTTATTTCTGTGGGGTTTTATGTGGTTAGTTAGAAGCTTCTCCAAGTGTGTTAGTTGGACTTTGATTAATTTTCTTTATTAGGATAATGGGAAAATATTTAAATTCTTTTCACTTATTCTAATTTTGTGCTTAGTTGTTTTATTTTATTTGTATTTGCTTCATAAATAAGAAATTTAGGAATGGAAGAAATTAATTTATTTGATGCTGGTTTTCATTCTATAGGGACTAGGGAAGTATAAGTTTTCCCTGGACTGTGCTTTGTGAAATATTCGGCTCATTAGGTTCAATGTCTGACATTCTCCTCTGTTCCAAATGACCATTGAAGATTAAAGCAACTCTAATTGTTGACTTAAGCATTTTTTATTTCTCTACTCAGTTGTAACAGATTTTTTTTCTGTTTTGTAACATTTTTCTATTTTGCTTGTAACAGAAAATCAGAAATTGTTTTTTTTAACAGGAAAACAGGAACTGATTTTCCTGTTTTCCTCCACCTGAGTACATAGATACATGTGTATAGGGAGGCTAATATTATAGCAGATTTTATGGCCTCTTTTGCTGTTAAAGTTGAGAGAGTTCTACTGATTTTTCTGCAAATGGTCCAGAAATGCCGAGAGTGATTCTGCATCAGGTTTTTCTAGCTGGTCCAGAAATGCAACATTTGTACAGGAGAGACTTTTCACATTTCTTTTCTGGTTTTGTACTCTTGTAATTTTGAGATTTAATCAATAAAATTTTTCTTTTTTATTAAAATTTTTCTTTTTTCTTAATTGGTTGATTCTTCATATCAAATCATTGTAGATGAACTATATAGTGAATCCACAGGAAAATAATGGAGAGAGAGAGAGAGGGTACAGGTTTAAATTTCTTCACTCAGTGGGTCTGAAGGATATAATAGTCTTTCTATTATATATTTTTGGGGAAATTTTAATATATAATACTTAATCTTACTATTGAGGGCTAATTTTGGAATTACAAGGGTTTTTTATGGTGATGTCACTCTTCTCCGTCTACATTATTGACGGCCATGGAACGGAGGGGGTGTCCGTGTAACGAGTTTCAAATGTGATGGGGTGTCACTGTAATTAATAAAATGTGAGGGGGTGTCCGTGTCATTAAGACAAAACTCAGGGGGTCCGAATGATTTTTACCCAAAACTTTATTCCACTTGATTGGTTTGTGGTTACGCTTAGTATGTAGGGCGCCTCATTTGATTGATTTCTACATGATGCTTTGTTCAGTGCATCACATGTGAGCCTGTACAAAGTCATTTATTGTCTCTTTTTATGCAGATTAATACTCTCTAGATACCACCTCAATATTTGGTTGCATTTCAATAGCTCTATGATGTGTATTAATCAAACTTGGAGTGAGCATGCACATTTAGAACCTCTTTCTCTCCTACATTAGGTGTCTTTATCTCATTTTCAGACTCCTCTGTATTTATTAGTTGTTACAGTGTGCCATCTTCATTAGACATCTGTTGTAGGGTCATTAGTGTTTCAAATATATCTTGCCCATTTGCTTGAACCTTTTTTTATTATCTTCTTCTAATGGCAGGGATGAATATTATGCATGGGGATTGTACCGCATAGCTAAAGCTGTGATCTTCAGCCTGTGATTTTGTGGGTCTTCTGATCTGCGATGCTTCGATTTTAGGGGACCTTTGTTGCGTTGCTTTGCTGGTGCTTTGTCCAAGTCATCGTCGGTTTCTGAGAGAAATGCAGGCTGTGATTCAGAGTTGTATTGAGGTGATTTGGTAGTGGTTTGTTTGCTTGTTTGGTTTCGTCGTTGTATAGAGGTGAATGGATTTGTCTGCTACAAAAGGGTAAAATAGTAAATTCTCAAAAGATGCCATCTCCCTTCCCTTTTTCAGTCCATTATCTGCCAAAAATGGGGGGAAAGATATTGGCGGGCTGCAGGGAATCCTTCTCCCTCCACTTTCCATTCCCTCCCATTTTCCTTCCAAACCAAACAATAGAAAACAGATCCTTCCCTTCTACTTTCCTTCCTCTATTTTTCATCCTCCCTATTTTCCCTCATACCAAACAGGGGGTCAGTCTCTCTCTCTCGGATGGCTGCATCGACCATCATCACCAGCAAATATCGAGCATCATGGTCTCACATCATTCTCACCCAACTACGAGTCCATTCCTCCTCCTCCTCCTCCTCCCCCTCCCCTCGACCATTATCCACTTTACACCATTCTTTTCCGACCACCCCAAGGACAACTACCACAACCCACACTTGTCATTTCCAAACTCTTCCCATTTCCCATTCCCACCTCCGCCGTGGATTTCGTTTCCCTGGAAATCGATTTTTCTCCATTTCTTCGGGGAAAGCCATCCAAGAGCTTCTCGCGGACGTGGAGAGGGAAAAGCAGAAGGAGAGAGAGGAGAGGAAAAGGGCGGGTTTAGATACTGCCGATATCGACGCTGAGGATGATGAGGATTACATGGGTGTGGGCCCGATCATCGAGAAGCTCGAGAAGGAGAAGCTCAAAGACACCGACACCAACCTCCACTTGTACGAAGAGCCCACTGACTCGGACACTGACGACGACGATGAACGCTTCACCACCGACTCCATTAAGAAGCGATCAGACGAGTTCGAGAAGAAGTTCAAGCGGCATGAAGAGCTCCTCAAGAACTTCACCGATGCTGGTAATATATTATAACTGCTACTGCATTCCTTTTACTTTCCTCACATACTTTCCTCCTCAGATATTAACTAAACTATGGGCTAACAGCAAGGCTTGAGAAGCCACTAGTTGGAGCAACCCTAGCAGGGACATTCAAACGAAAGTTGTGATTAACAGTTTGAACATCTAAATATTAAGAGAACCTTAA